ACGGGCGGATGGTGGGCGTGAGAGAGAAAGTACATTCACTTTGTAGAGAGAGAGAGAGAGAGAGAGAGGGGGAACGGGAAAAGTAGATTGGTCACCTTTAAAAAGTTAGAGAGAGAAAATTTAGTAGATTTAGAGAGAGAAGGCGGCATTGTTTTAGGGAGTAGGATCTAATGATGGTTCATCGCATTTTTGGGTAATTTAGTAGATTTAGAGAGAGAAGGGGCATTGTTTTGGCGGAGCAGTATCTAATACCTCATCACATTTGTGGGTTTTTCGAGAGAAAGAGGCCTTGGTCAGCTATATCTCTAACCCTCGCTCCTAAATAAAACATGTATGGTTCATCACATTTTCATTCTTCTCTAAACAAGAGGTGTGAGAGAGAGAGAGAGAGAGAGAGGGCATTATTGTCCCGAAGTGTACCTAACCTAGAACGTGTGGGATATCACTATTTGGGCCGAGTACTTGGGCCATGCCCGATCCAAGTATTTGGACTAAGTCTGCGTCACGCGGCCCGAGTAGTGTCGAGTAAAAAAAGAAAATATATGTTTAAAATAATTACAAATAATGCCCCTCTCTCTCTCATCAAAATGAGATTAAAAATAGATTTTAAGAAATCGTTGAGAGTATTTTTGAAATAATCTGAAAAATAGAAAAATATAAAATTAAGTACTTAAGGCCAAAATACTTTCTAATTTTTATTTTTAGAAACCCACAAAAAAATATATATATCCCAAATAATTTTATTTTTTAAAATATTTTTATGATTTTATTTTTAAAATTAATAGCTCTTAGTTGAACACTCTAGTCAAGATAAGTTGGGCGAGCTCGGGGCCCAAGTAACTTGGCCGACTTCACAAACGCTGATCTAGAGCTCACGATCTTTTTCGTTCTCTAGAGGTCAAGAAAGAAGAGCTTTCAAAATTCCACAATAATTGATAGGAATTATATCATTTAGAGTTCAAAATTTCAGAATAATTAATAGGATTATGCCATTTATTTTTTATACAAGGAGTGCTCCGTAGCATTCAAAATTCCATAATAATTAATAAGGATTATACCCTTTAAAGTTCAAAATTTCACAATAATTAATAAAGATTATATCATGTACTTTTGATACAAGAAGTGGAGTTCACAATTACCATGTGAAATTTGATTGTTTGAATGTGCCACAAAGTTCAAAACAATTATTTTTGAAGTTTGAGCTCAATCAATAGAATAAAAGTGCAGTTTGCATACGGATGCATCCGTAGGTATAGAGGTAAGGTGCACCTTCAAATTTTATCATGGTATATATAATTTTGATGTAAAATGTTATTAGGATTATCTCAAAATCTATTTTATATTTAATTATAAAATTTTAAATTTCAAAAATAGTTAAAATCAAGTAGATCTATAAGCATATGAAAATCTTGAAAGTGGACGGTGTAGATAATATGTTGTAAAATGTACTATTTCTAAGACAGAAAATCTTTTTATTTTTCACGGTCATACATCTCGATGTCGAGATGATCAATCAAAGGGTTTTTCAACATTAAAACTATCTTTTTCGAGGGTTTTTCAACATTAAAACTATATTTTCCGATGGATTTTGAAGTGCATCCGTAGTTCTACATTATAAGGTTACAACCTTATATAAACTTTTTTTATATAATAAATGCAGCAATTTAATTTCATATCCAATGATCAAAATCAATTATGACCACCTCGTACTAAAGATAAACGGGACCTATCTTAATTAACAAGCTGGTTTTATCACATATTGTGTCTCTATTTGGAAGCACCCGTGATAAAAACTAATTTGTGGAGAGGGCTTACCCAAATTCACGCGTAGAGAGAGAGAGAATTATTGAAAACCATACTTCATGCACGAAAAGTACCCTCGTATGTAGAGAGGGACATGGGTCATTAGAGAGAGATGGTTATTGAGAATAATAATAATATAAAGAGGAGTTTTTAAATTTCTTTAGTACGCAAATGTTCGCGGAAATTTGATCCAAAATTCAAAGTTCACCAAAAAGTCATGCTTGCCCTGGTCTTTATCTCTATAGGATTAGCCCCCGTCATAAAGACCAGCATAGATTGAGTCAGACCAAAAATAATTGATAAAAAATAAAAAAAAATTTAAAATTAAAAAGAAAGTATGGCCCAGACCAACCTGGCCGACACTAATCCTAACCCAACCCTTGGCCCATATATATATATATATATATATTTTATTCTTTTTTTTAAGTGCCGATCCATGCCCCTCATTGCCAATCCTAAAAAAGCTAACCAACTACAGTTGTTAATAAATAAAGTATGGAAACAGGTGAGATGTAGAGAAAAAGGACGATACGACGAGGCTGTCGCATTAATTGAGGGCATTAGAATGTTAATCTTTGATTACATGTATATAGGTATTGTAGAGAGAGAGAGAGGGAGACGTTGTTGTGGATTATTAATTATTATTAATCGGAGATAACGCGACATTATTTGGAAATGAGCGCCTTTTGCGCATGTAGCTTTCATCTTATATTGGGAGGAAAATATAAAAATATGGCTTTTTGACTAGGAAAAATAAACAAACACCATGCTCTCCAGTCAAATATAATCATAAGAAGTTACTTTTGGAATGTCATGGAATATGTGAGTTTTAAACTTTGATTTTTACTCCACCACAAAGATAAAGCTAAAAATATTTCCTGCCACGGTGGGAGTATATTATCTATTTACACTCTATTTAATAGTTGCAAAAATCAAAAATAATTTAAAAAATAAATAATTATCTAGTTATTTTTATGTGGTTCACAAATTTTTAGACTAAAATGATCGTTTCAAGTAGGAATTTTATGAGACGGAATAAATATATAGTATGATCCTGCCAGAGCATAGTACATGTGTTCACAAGCCTTGCTTTCAAAGTGAGGACAAGATTTTCTCTCTTAAAGTCCAAGTGATATGTGACATATACATAGTACTAAGACGAATATAATATTTATTGGAAAAGGATTGGGTGGTTTCAGAGGACCAACTCTCCAATCATCTTTGGGCCACTTAATTTCTTTTCAAATTTAAAATTTACAGTGAGATTCATAGACATCACATATCGAAATTCACTCAACGCAGAGTACGGACCATCCGTATTGATGGTTGGAGAATATTTGGTCTTGGATAAATTTATTCTAACTTTTTTAAAAAAATTGTTTTATGGCCGCTGGACTGCATGTCTACATATGCAGTCCGAAAAGCGTCAAGCATCCATCTTAAAAGATGAATCAATGGAAGCATCCATCCTAAAAGATGGATCAATGGAAACTAACTGTCCAAATATTTTTCCACTAAAATTATTATTTATAGTTTTTAAAATTTACTTACTTTTTCATATTCATGATCTCTGTGTTAGAGATTACATGTTCTTAAAAATTAAGTCCAGAATTCCATCTCGAAAATAGATTTATTAATAGGCCTTCATTTCTACATATACAGGCTTAGCCGCATAGAAACCGGGTCCATTTTAAAATGGGTATTGAATCAAGGAAAATTGTTTCATAGGCCGCACCGTATTTCTACATATGCAAAAAGTGTAAAACAACTATCTTAAAGATGGATACAAGTAAGTGTTCGTAAAAAAATAATAGAAACTAATAGTCCAAATATTTTCTTACATCTATCTTAAAGATGGATGCAAGTACGTGTTCCATCTAAAAACAATAGACACTAATGGTCCAAAAGTTTTCTTACTAAAAATTATTATTTCTAGCTTTTGAAATTTATTTATTTCTTTATATTCATGATCCCATGTTAGAATCCATCTCGAAAATAGATTTATTAAGAATGGTCTTAAAATCCTTAAAAATGGATTTAAAATCCATCTCGAAAATAGATTTATTAAGAATGGTCTTAAAATCCTATGTTAGAACGGTCTTAAAATAGATTTATTAACAATGGTCTTAAAATAGATTTATTAAGAATGGTCTTAAAATATATTTATTAAGAATGGTCTTAAAATAGATTTATTAAGAATGGTCTTAAATAGATTTATTAAGAATGGTCTTAAAATAGATTTATTAAGAATAGATTTAAAATAGATTTATTAAGAATGGTCTTAAAATAGATTTATTAAGAATGGTCTTAAAATAGTTTTATTAAGAATAGATTTAAAATCCCATGTTAGAATCCATCTCGAAAATAGATTTATTAGGAATGGTCTTAATAAATTTATTAAGAATGGTCTTAAAATCCTTAAAAATGGATTTATTAAGAATGTTATTAAAATAGATTTATTAAGAATGTTATTAAGAATGGATTTATTAAGAATGTTATTAAGAATCCTTAAAACTGGATTCATTAAGATTGTTAT